TGTGGTACAGAGAACAACTACCAGCATTAGAAAATTTAAAATATTTGTTAGAAAGAAAATGCCCACAAGCATACTTTCAGCACAGCAATGCATTGAGCAAAGGATCCAAAAGAAGAGTGCAAGCATGCAGTTCATCCGTTCCTCTCTGTCTTTCTGTATATGCCCTAGGTGATGTTATTCTAAGGCAGCTTCTTTCATGTGGTTTAAAACCTTCCTATTATCTTCGATTCTCTTTTCAGGCCCGAAGTCCTCTTTCACATGGCAATGGCAGCCAGCAGGAGTTCTGGTGTAAAAGACCTCCTTCATCCTTGATGAAATCAGCCAAAGAAAGACTCTCCCCTCTAAGCCAAGGGGTTTTATAATCTCTGTCCTCCCCATGGGTCAGCAAAACCCTTCCTGTAGTCTCCAGGATGACACCTTATATCTCAGACAACCAAACCTCTTTCCTGCAAGGTACTAGTTGTTAGACAGAGCATTGTGCCCAGACTGGGAGGCCATCAGTATTTGTAAAGCCTGAATGGGTGAGGCTTGACTTCCCCTCTCCTGCCTGTTCTCTGCTAAGGGAGAAAAACTTTTTAAAATTGAAGGTGAATGTTTTGTACAGTCCAAAACTCCAAAGTAAGACACATTTGTGCACAACTGCCAAAGGCTATTACAATATAATAAAAGTCTGAGTTAATGAGTTGTGACTGCTCTGCTGAATATCCTACCTTTTTCTTCCAATGTCAAACCAGGACTGGGTCTAAGAATAAGAAGACCTGGAAAAATTAGATACTTCTAGTTCCATGACATTTACAAGAACAAACAAAAACATAGAATGCTAATACTTTGTGCAAGCTTATTAGTTAATATGACTGCTAGAAAGAAAGAAAAAAAGAAAGAAAGAAAGAAAGAAAGAAAGAAAGAAACTCAATGTAACAGCGAGTGTTTGTTTTTCCTGTAGTTTGCTCTCATGTGTGTCCTGTCAGTGTGGATCTAGATGCTTTATTATAGATATAGATGTACAGAGGTATTATAT